GAAACAATCTTATTTTACATATCAATCCCCCCATCCTCTCTTCCTCTCATCCTCCCATGGCCCCTACGGACTCCCCCTAACTCGCCCTTCACCACTCCCCTAAAGATAGGAAGGCACCCATATTTATGGTACAAACATAGAGAAATCAGGCTAGTACTTTCATCCCTACTGGCTGGCACTTAGAGTGCTGGAAGGTGCTGTGTGTGCTACCAAAGGAGAAAGATAATTGTTAGCTCCACCCAACTATGAATCCTGATTGCTGTAAGGACCTGCCTGCAAGATATACTGTGCAGTAGTGGCAAAAGATGTTATTGGAGACCTTTTTTTTAATTCAAGGCCCATTCCATGATTTGGAACCCATACTGTTAATGAGGCCAAGATAGGTCCTGTGACCGAGGGGGAAACCTGCTATTATTATTCTCCTAAAGGAACACAGCAGTAAAATTACTCCTAGTGTTATTTGCTATATGCATAGATCAGTATATTTCTCAACCATAATCGGAGAAGTTTCTCACAGTAGATGATAACTGACACATAATTAACATGAAGAACATGGAGAAAGAGACTTTGGAGTGCTCACCATAAATGGGGTGTTTATCACACTCCTTCCCTGGAGGACTAGAGATCTGTGCAGAAGAGGGGGCTTATTCTTAATAAACTGTCTATTCTTAATACACTAAGAAATTTGGTTACATATAAAAATATTAATGTGGGCAAGTGCAGGATACTCTGATGATGGTGATCAAGGTTTAAATATGGTTTACTTAAGACTTTATAGTTCACTGTGAGATATAGGACCAGAGACTACAGTTCACTGAGCCCCTGTCTCTCTATTTATAAAGTGGAAGTAATATGCAATTTTCTCTGGATTATCCCAACAATTAAATGTCAATTATACTGAATACAGGATCCCAGCAAATGTGAATTTCCATTTCCTAGCAAGGTTAGCTGTACAATTCAGCCTCTACATAATCTAAGCAGGCCTGTGGGAGCCCTTTTCAGTTTTAAATAAAAGGGGACAAGAAAATTGGTACCAACTTTAAGACAGTTGCAGAAGTGTCAGGACAGTTGCGGTGGCCAGACTAGAAGATTGATGGTCAGTTTGATAAACTTTGGAGCTTCATGCCTCTTGTTTCCCCTCTGAGAGTCTGTCTATGTATAATCTAGAACAGATCCTCTAAATTACTCATCTAAAAAGACTTCGGGGCTCCTAATTATCTTTCTTTCTTGGAAACCCAGATTTTTTTTTGTGGGCTTTTGCTGAATTATACAGATATATATATATATATATATATATATATATATATATATATATATATGATTATCTATTTAATGTATATTAAATATGTAACATTTGTATATTTCTATATTTTATTATATAATACTATATAATAGATTAACTGTAATACCAAGAATATGTATTTTATATTATATAACCCTATAATATATTAATATCTATATATCCAATAAGTATATAATATTTATAATGTACAGAACATATGCAATATATATACACTATACAAAGATTTTAAAATCTTTTTGGGTCTGAGGATATAACTCCATAGCAGAGTGTGTGCTTAGCATGCAGAAGGGGATCATTCTCCAGTGCTGGAAATTATTTGAACCAAAAATAAGAAATTTTATGAGTCTTTAATCCCTAGACTCAATTTTGAAGGTAATTATCAACAAAATAATAGCTTCTAAAGCAATGATGGCCAATGCTCTGTGATGGTATGGGTTTGGTGGCAATGTGTGAACTGGGTAATTATAAACTTTAGATTACTAGTCTAGGTAGAAAATTGTATATTTAGATTGCTTTGAAAAAATTTATCCATGTCTAGAAATGTCTTATATTTGTGAACATGGTGTTGAAAACAAGTGAATTCTGCCATAAAATGCTAAATTGTTTTTCTTACAGTGAGGCTTTTTAAAACTAGTATTTGTTCTGGAAAAATAATGACAGCAAAACTGTTTAGTCTTTGGAGAGTTCATCTCCAAGCACTGTTGAATTCCTGCTGTCTGGGGCTGGCTTCCCATGTCCAGAGCTAAGGAAAGGGAAGGAAAGGGAAGCTTAAGCATCATCAATGAGGTAGAACAGTGAGAATCCTTTCTTTTGTTCTTCAGAGTGAGGGACCACAAGGGACTTTCCCCAGGACATTCAACTTAGTTTTCATTCCTTTTATTCAATTTGTAACCCCATAGAGTTGACACTTTTACTAAAGTATACAGTCCACAGTAAGCTAACTAGTTCTGATATCTAATTATAGAACATTATAATTAACATCCAAAGAAGCCCTATGTTCATTAACAAGCACTTCCATGTTCCTTACACTAATCTCTGAAGAGCTGTGTATCCAAACTCCTTTAACTTAGCGTGATTCTTCAGGACCCATTTGAATTAATATGTATCAGTACTTCATTCCATATTGCTGAACAGTATTCCAGTGTATGGTTACATCATACATACTCTGTATGATGAGCTCACAGAGACTTGAGCTTTTGGGTCCTTCTGTTAATGATCACCCTCAGACCCTTGCATGATGGGGAACTGAATGTGGGAATTCATATGCCTGGGCAACACTGCCACTGAACTGTATCCTAGCTGTTCTAGTTTGCTGTTTTAAACCATTGACCAAAAGTGTCTTATGGTTCATTTCAACTTACTTTCCAGGTCATCAGTGAGTGAAGTCGGGGCAGGGAGGCAAGGCAGGGACTTGGAGCAGAAACCATGGAGGAACAATACTTGCTAGCTTATGCTTAGCTTGCTTTTTCTTGCATATTTATTCCTTTTCTATTGAATCCCATCCAGGATAGAACATTGCACTCAATAGTCTCCTTGGATTCCTGGAGACTATGACAGTGCCTTAGTTAGCCTTTTTTTTTTTTTTTTTTTTTTTTTTTTGGCCCTTGGCTCTTCAATTGGGACTTGTCCTTCATAAAGCTAGGCTTTGGGGGAAGGTCAGAGTGCCATTTTCATCACATCAATATGCTGCAAGGTAGTTGATGTTGGTCTTCCTTCTGGCTGAGGTTTGATTAGATTTCTCCACAAGAAAGGCTCCTCTTCCCCTCCTTCTATTGCACATTGGCAGCCCACACAGAGAGTGGCTGGGAATTAGGGTCCATCTTGAATAGCTCCAGAAGTTATTTGAAATTCTAAAAAAAAAAAAAAAAAAAAAAAAAAAAGGAGAGATTTCCTTTATTGGTTTAATCGTTTATTTTTTTATTAATGTGGACTCACATTGGGTTATAACCTAGCTGCTGTGTTTGGTGGCACAGATTGGTGACAGGGAGCTCTTTAGTTGGCTACCCCGTCATCTTTGAGAGCCACCCTAAATGTGGGTGTTTTGTTTTGACTTTGAGTGTACCCTTACACCCTTTCATTTGTAAATACCCAAATCTCCATAGAAGTTGACTTTAAGAAAACCAACAATACGCTTTCTCTCAGGTTATCAGAGATGGGGCACTACTTGCCTCTCCTCTTGGAGGTGAGAGCAGTCAGCTCAGCATCTGGGGCTTCAGATTGAATGAGACACCTGCCTGGCCCTCCCGCAGTTTAGAATCATGCAGAGTCCTTGGTCACTTTTGGATTCAAAAGCAAATCTGTTTGTTTGTCTTACCTCAAGCCTCACAAAATAGAAAGCCTTGGAGGGTAAAAACCTCCACAGAGAATAAAGCTTAACTCCAAGTCTTTCAAGGGAGCTGTTCTCCAAAGGGAATAACATCCCTTCGTGCTGTGTTTTATTAGGCTCCACCTCTCAGGGATTCCCCAGTATGTTCCATGCTGGGGGATTTTACCTTCAGTCTCTATGTAACAAACACATGCTACCATGTTGCTGCTTTAGTTGCTAAGTTAAGTACATGAAATCAATCTAAAAGCTTATGTCCTCCCTCCAAAGCCTTCAAGTGAGTCTTGGGTTGCCGTCCTGCCCTGCAGTGTGGACATTTCTCCATGGACCCCGGTGTATCTAGGATGCTGAAGCCCAGCTCATCCCCAGTTTAGTTTCAAGCTTCATTGTTGTGACAGTAAAAGTGCTTCCTGTTTCTGGATGGATGTTGGGGGTGGCGGTAGGGGTAAGGACAGGCAAGCAGACAGGCAGGCAGAACAATAAATACACTGGGGAAATTCCTTTATTTATAGGACTACTCTGGGGAAAAAGCATTTTTTTTTTTTTTTTTTTTTTTTTTTTGGTGAAGCCAATGTAGTTGGTCAAGACTATTAAGAAAAAGAAAATATCAGTTATCACTGGGGTGTAAGGATGGTTGTTGCTTTCCTACGCCTCTTCTAGGCACACCTGTTTGTGAAAGATAATACCTATCTTTGTTTCTCTGGCTAAATATTAAAAGAAGTTGGAGAATCAGGACTGTAAAGACACAAGGAAATACTCTTTTACTGGCCTTTTACAATTCACACTCAATTTCCACAGTTTAACGCTAGGGCGTTTTAATCATTAGAAAAATCGAGTTAGGGAGAACATTTGGTGACACTTGCATGGAGGCCAGGAGCCATTTCTCTTGAACATATAGCATTAAGTCGGTGAGCCATTCTGTTTGAGATACATTCCTTTACCCTCTCCTGCGCCAAAGCCAGTACTCAGAGGTCTATGGGTTTCATGTTTTCCTCCCCGATTTTTACTTGTGCAGTTTTAGAGCAAACTTAAGCAAGCCCAGACCATGCCAGAGCACGTCGGCTGGTTAAACCAAGACCAGAGCATCTTCCTTGGTAGTGGGTGGGCCGAAGTGGAAGAGCGGACCGAGGATCCTCATCATTGGACTGCGTCAGGAGGACGTGGTCCCACTCCAGAGGAACGGGAAGAAGGATATAAAGCGAGAAGTCTATCGCACAAGAAACTTAGAACACTAAGCACACCTTGCAACTTGGTGTTGAAAGAAGAAACAGAAGGAACAAGAAAGTCTAACCCAGGAGCTCTCCAGCTAACCCACCCACCCCAAACCAGGTGAGCTGCCACCACGTCCACCCCCTCCTCTCCCTCCCAGCCTCCATGAACTTGGCAAGAGCCAGGCAGCTTCTCTCCACTCCGCAGCTCAGCCCCGGAAGCTCCGACCGGGATGAGGTTGAAATCCACATGCTGGCAGAGGAGGAAGATGGAGACCAGACGGAGCACAACGAGAAGGCGGAGATGAGCCTTGAACCGCCGCTGCCGGGGCCCAGAGCAGGCACGCCTACCCGGAGGAACGCGGGGGACCGTGGCAGCCTGAGCAACTCCTCTGGGTTCGTCCACAAGTTCCGAGCGCCGCGCACAGCCGCGACCCCCGCCGCCGATGGCCCGCAGCCTGCCAAGCCCCCATACTCCTACATCGCGCTCATCACTATGGCTATCCTGCAGAGTCCGCACAAGCGCCTGACGCTCAGCGGCATCTGCGCCTTCATCAGCGGCCGCTTCCCGTACTACCGCCGCAAATTCCCCGCCTGGCAGAACAGCATCCGCCACAACCTGTCGCTTAACGACTGCTTCGTCAAGATTCCTCGCGAGCCAGGCCACCCCGGCAAAGGCAACTACTGGAGCCTGGACCCCGCCTCCCAGGACATGTTCGACAATGGCAGCTTCCTCAGGCGCAGGAAGCGCTTCAAGCGCCACCACCCGCCCTCGGGAGGCCACCTGCACTGTCCCTTCCCTCCACCGCCTGTGCCTGCCACCCTGCACGTCTCCCACCCCAGCCTCCTGCTCCGTTACTCTTCCCCGCCGCAGCCTGGCCTCCGAGTCCATCAAGCCGCTCCACCCGGGAGCCGCCCGTGCGCTCCGCTGCATCCGCATCCGCTCCGCTACCTGCTGCTTGCCGCCCCCGCCTATGCCGAAGCGCCTAGAAAAGCCGAAGATGCGGACCCGGCCACGTCCCGCGCCATCCCCGTAATGCAACCCGCACTGGGTTCCCAGCCTTGGGACGGAGCCGAGGGCTCGGGATCTCCGCCTGGACGCGGCTGTACCTCGTTCACCATCGAGAGTATCATGCAGGGGGTCAGAGGAGAAGGAACTGGGGATGCGCAGAGTCCGCCCTCCGCTTCGTGGAGCTACTGCCACCTGCTGCAGCACCCATCGCGCTTGCTGCACCCCCAGGCCCTTTCCCCGCTGCTGCAAGTGTCCGCCCGGACAATGTTGCAGCAGCAGCCTCAGCAAGAGGAGCACCACTGTGCCAGGAGCTGCGCTCCTTGTAAAGGCGCACGGTTGGGCAGGCACCTGACGGCCGGCCGTTGCGGCTTTGCTGAAGCATCAGCCTGCCACTGAGGACTGCAGGCTGACAGCTCTGGCTGCTCTTTCTAGCAGAGAAGAGACCTTGCCTGCATTTTAAACAACAGCCTCGCCCAGCCTCGGGGCTGATTCCCTCTGTCACACCTGGAGCCAAGTGGCAGGGTGGACCCTCTCCCTGTCTAGATTTGCACCACCTGCTTGTTCGAGGCTTGTGCGAGGAAAAGCAGCATGCACTCCCGCCAAACTGTTACTACTGTGTTCTGCTCTCTTGATGACAAAACGCGGGGGAATCTGGGGGCTTGAAGCGTGTCTAGTCCGCTTCAGTTGTAATTTCCACAGCTTTTCCGATTTGCATACTTCCCCGGAACCTATGAACTATGAACGTGAGTGAGACGTTTGGTTGTTAATAAGCAGAACAGCTGGCAACACAAAATCACGCCCCATTTCATCCCCTAGGGACTGCAAGTGTCCCCCAGTCACATGCAGAATGCCAACACGCTCTGATTCCCGAAATCCGTATGTAATAGAAATAAAATGTTTTCGGAACATTTATTTCTTGTATGTGTGATGTGCCCTGCTCAACCAGGGTTGTATTAAAATTAAGCCTAGTCATATAGATTGAATAAAATACTAAATCGGGATGCCATATTGCGTATTTCCTATTATGTCTCTTTATTCGCTTTCATAATTTTAGAGTTTCTTTTAGAATTTACATTATTATCTCACAATTCGTTTTTATGCTTTATATTCATTATAGATATCAGTAATTTTAAGTATGGGCTTTAAGAACTCCTAATATTTGTGGACCAAAGTTCATCTTATAAAATGGTTTTACTACTTACGAAACTTCTAGAAGGAAAAGAATTAGAGGAATTAATACAACCTCTATTCTTTCTCACCCATCACTCCTTCCTTCCTTCTTTCTTTAAAAGGGAGGTTTCCGCGGTGTAGCTCTTCGTGGCCTGTAATCAGCTATCTTCCTTTCCAGCTCCCAAAAGTCTTAGCATGTCCCATTATGCTGAGTTTATTTGTCATTTTTCTAAAGCCGGGCTATTAGGTACATTAAAATACTAGTATTGTCATGGCCTTTTCCTAAAAAAAAAAAAAATAATTTCGGAGAGGCCTTTGCAACAGTGATTCAGCTTCAGGGTGCAAGTAAAAGGAGAGTATGCCCATCGCCTACGACTGCTGGAAAAAAGAGGAATTTTAGAGGTTGTGTCAATGGTAAGCGGATTCTGCAATTCGTAACTTCGGGGAAGCCATGCTGGGTAAAGGAAATCGTCTGTGCTCCCCACCCTTTGCAACGAAGTCCACATTTCACTGCTTACACTCCATAGCCCAGAACTCCTACAGTTCCCTAAGTTCACCTTGGTAGCTTTGAGCATTCAAACAGTCAGCTCTCCTCCTCTTGGCCCCTGGCCTCTCGGTTCTCACAGTACCATCCCTTCTGTGGTCAGCGGCAATCTGAGAGTTCAGTGGCAATTAAAAACAATGCGAAGGCTCCTCTTTCCCACTCCTTCGCTGTTGCTCTTTGCTCTTTGTGCAAAGACGTCCCGAGCCTGGTCACCCTCAGCTAGTCAGTTAACACTCCCCCCACCTCCAGCTGACCCTGGAAGCGAATGATGCCTGGCTGGGCACCTGCGCACAGAACTCCTATTCCTACAGCTCTCAAACCCGGCCCAGCACGAGGAGGAGTGCCCAGAGCCTGGCGCAGGCCTGCCCCTAAATTGTAATGCGTCTCTGCTGAAATTGTAACAAGGCCACACTTTCCAAGACCATTGCTGATGAAGGGTAGGATGAAGGTCGTCCCAGGAGTTTATTGTGCAGAGTGCCCGGAGGACTGGGACAGCTCGGACCTCCTTTGAGTGCGATCTGCACCACTCACACCCAGGTGGCGGGAAGAGGGGGACGGGCTGCAGTGGCAGCGCCTGAACCTGGAGCGCCAGCAGCTGACCCCGCAGGCCAGGCGTCCCCACGATGTCAAGTCCTTGGATTACTCAGGGGCCAGTGGCTGGGATGCAGCGTGCTCAGCCTAGTCACCTGTACCGCCCCCTCCAGGGCCACGGAACACAAGCCCGCAGTTCTGCAATACACTTCACGCAGGTGAGCGTCTTTGGGCTGGGCTTTAAAAACTATGTGGCTTCTGAGACCCTGAAGGTTGGAGGGTCTCCCTGGGAACAGACTGACCGGATACGCCCAGAACAGAATCGAGTGCCGGCAGTTTCCACCAGCATCAGGGAGCTGGAGGGAACTGTCTCAGCCTCTGCCTTCTAGGAATGAACGACACACACCATTAGCTCTGGTACCCCTACTCCTGGTACACTAGGCACTGACACCATGGCTGTACCTAGAATATTCACTGTAGAACCCCACCGTTTGCAGAGGAGAACTTTCAACTAGGAGAAATTGTCTTCTAAGGACCCTCGGGCAGCAGTGTCAGGACCCATGTGGTTTCTAACCCACAAACTCTTGTAGGAAATCTTCACGCAGTACAGCCTCTTGTCCCAGTCTCCTGGAGGCCTCCAGGTCAAGACCAGGAGCCCACAGGGTCACTAGAACTGAAGTAGCTAGGAAGGAATCAGGAAAGAATTCAAGGAGTTCCTCTCTCCTGCTAGATTTTGTTCCATTCCGGTTCCTCCCAATGGTCCTAAGAACAAGGAACCCTTGAGTAGGAGAGATTTCCCCAACACCCAATCCGCATGCCCAGAGCCAGTTTGAAACTGGGCATCCGCGGACCAGCGAGTGAGAAGGTGGGATTTCTCAAGTGCCCAGTCCTTATCCCAAATGAACTACTGGACAGAATTTAGGATGCTGAAACCGCTTTCATCACCAGGCTGCAGATGTCAGCCACCAATATTCTTTTGGTTTAGATTCTGTGACAGATGATAGGCAGTCTAGGGCCGCATCAGAAACGAGGGGGAAAACACTGGCCTCAACAGTGAGATGCAATTAAAGGTATCTTCTAAAACAGGACCCGTGAGACTGCTGAGCGTTTACAGAGAATGTTCAGGAAAACTTTCCAACACTGACATTGATGGCAATCTAAAGGGAAATGCTGTTTGAATTTCCCTCCCCTCCCCCTACACCACCCTGAGATTATTTCAATGCCTTTTAAGCTTTAGTTGGCAAGCACTAACTAACTAACTAACTAACTAACTAACTAACTAACTAACTAACTAACTAACTAAAAGAATTCGTGCAGGTGACAGCTAATCGTACCAAATTGACTTCCCAACAAAAGAAAAACTTAGAGAAAAGAAAAGAGCAAGCATTTGAGACCACAGTGTGAAATTCACCTTGGTTCCCTCTGCTCGGGTCCCTGAACAAGCTGAGGGTACCTGAGTGTAAACCCCAGCCCAGCTCCTTTTCCATAGGGCACAGGCATGTGTCTACTGCAGTAACCAAGAAGGTGTTTGGACAGTTATGACTTCCTTACAGTGGAACGGTTTTTCTTCCCCAGCCAGGCAAAGGAAACAATGAGATTAAATGAAGCCTAAGAGGTATGCGTTTTCCTGTGCATAGCTGTGAGTCTATTAAACCCAGTACTTATAACCCACAGATTATAAATTATGGTGACTATTATTGATGTTTTCTTTCCTTCTCTCTTTTCTTCCTTTTCCTTTTTCTTTCATTCTTTCTTCTTTTCTTTTTTTCTTTCTTTTTCTTTTTTCTTTTGAGACGGGGTCTCACTATGTAGCTCTGGCTACAGAGCTTGATATGTAGGTCAGGTTAGCCTGGAACTCACAGAAATCCCACTGCCTTTGACTCCTGATTGCTGGGATTAAAGGTGTGTGCCTAGCAGGTGTGCCATTTTTCAAATGCTAATTAATTCCACTTAAAAAAGGAAACCATGACAATTATTTGTAACGTAATTTGTTGTAACTAACCCATTTCATCTTTACCATCTTACTGTTCTCTCCAGGTTATTTTGTGTCAAATCCAAAATTCTATCATTTCCTCCATAAAAAAGACAAGAATTTCATCAATGTAACCTAATTACTACAGTTATACCAAAACAATTCACTGACTATCAGTTTATCAAGGCAATAGTAAATATCCTCAATTGTCTGTAAAGAAAGTTTTTAAATATTTGTTAGTTTGAGCAGAGCACTGTGATGCAAGCATTAGGGAGACAGAGTGGGGAAGAACTCTGTAAGTTCCAGACCAGCCAAGGCTACAGTAGTGACACCCTGCATCACAAAATGAAAACAAATAAAAAACAAAGAGAAAAGCACAAAGTGTAACAAAAAAGCTTGCTAGTTTTCAATGGTGCTCACATCCCGTTAACTAGTTTCTGAGCTTCTTTAGATTGCCCCATCCTCTTTCACTGCTCCAGGGGACTCAGAGGCAGTCGAAGAAAGTAGCTGAGACATTTAACAGTCCAGATTTTTCTGCCCACAGATGATATTCTCGTGGCAAAATATACCCAGTGATAATGCTGTTCCTACAGACTTTACAGCAACAACACCACCAAACAAAATAAAATAAACCCAGAGTCTCACTGTATTCCCCTGTCTAACCTGGAACTCTGTGTAGATCCTGCTGGGCCTGAAATCACAGAGATGTGCTTATGACTGCTCTCTGAGTGCTGGGAGTGAAAATATGCACCAACACTCCCTGTCCTAGTCCCCTCCCCTGGTCATGCCCAACACCTGAACACCTGTCCTGAAGCCCCAATGGGCGTGGTCAATGCCACAGGTGCAGGTGGGGTGGATATCTCAATACAATTCTTAAATGTTTCTTATATTTTTAAAGATGGATTGTTATTTTGGGTGCATTTACAGGCACATAAAATTATGACTCAAACACATCATCTACAATTTAATGACCTGCCACCCAATTAAGTATTTTCCTTTATAAGAGTTGCCATGGTTATAGTGTCTCTTTTATTTGTGAGAATACAGACCTTTACTTCTTGAAATTTTTATGTTGTAGCATTTTATGTTTTATATTGTGTTGTGTTTTAGGATGCAAATGCTAAAATCTCAGTGATGTCATAATAAAGTAAGAACACAAATTCTGGGCTTGTAGAAAGA